AGTCTTCTAATTCCTGGAATGGCCTGAAAGGATGAAAGTCTTTCCTACATATTCTACATTGGGAGTACAAATACCAAATCCCAGTACCTGCTATCAAAACAGAGTGCTGTCATGTTCAGTTGAAGCCAACCTTTTAACTCTTTCTTGCTATTTTAATGGAATTTAGCAACCAGCTCTCAGTTAGTTGCCTCTTAATTGAATTACCTTTTTTTCCCCAACATGAATACAGTATGCTATCTGATACCTTACTGGATTTTCAAATCTTTTACTCAGACTCACAAGAATGGGAAGTGCCCTTAAGTCAGTAATACTCCATTTATTGCACTTCTGGCAGGAGTTCAACTGTTCTATTTTATTCTTATAGCACATGTATTTTGACAGTGTATGAAGTAGGTGACTCAGAAGACTCAGAAGTAATTATCACTTTTGACTTGCACATAAGCAAAATATGTATTTGCAACCACCAGTCTTTGCTTAGAGTTTGGTTCTACTCTGTCAAAACTAACATATATCTTCATTCTCCTTTTTACTCTTTCATTCAGAAAATATGAACACTTCACCTAGTAATTAAATACAGTCACCATAAGAATAAAATATATTTTTTTGAAAAAAGCTTCCTTTATACAGAGAACTTCAATAATAAATTTACTACATTTACAGAGAACATTTAATACTAAAATAAATTTTAATATATACACAATTATCCTAAGCTACATTTTCACATAAATTCAATGTTGGCTAGTATCAAGAAGTTTAACATCTTGGAAAACACTTAGCAGTTATTGCCACTGTATGGAAGGTTTTCAGCTGCTGGATTGTAAAATGGACTTGTATTCCTCCTCAAAAACCCTCATCTCCTTCCAGCAAAGGATAACAGTCAATGGGAATAACAATGACATCATGAGTTGATACCAGAGAGGAGTTGGGAAAGATTCGGATTTAGAAGATATTGACCGTTACCATGAACAATAAAGCCCCAAAGCTATTTCTATAGGTAACTGCTTGAGACAGATTCACAAATTAAATTAGCAGGTGTATGAGTAGATAACGACTTGGGCAGATAACACCCCTCTCACCTCTTTCTCAGTTACAGCTTATATTGCATTTATGGTCTATTTACATAAAACTGGTATTGTATAAAAAATTACGCAACAGTATGAAAGTGATCCTCATAAAAGTACAGAGGAAAGTTTCCACATTTTTAAACAGATCCCTGTCTCTAGATGTGCGTGTTAGAATTCCATGGGAGATGGTCCATGGTATCTAGGAGAGCTGGTTGATTTTCAAGGAGCTCCTCCTCCAAGCTCGAGTATGGTCCACCTGCCATGTAGGCAGCCAAGCGTAGGTGGCAGGAAGCCAGCATGGATAAACAAGTTACTTCTGTCGCAAGTCAGATGGGGAAAGGAACATACAAAAGGTGGAAGCAGGGACAAGCAATCCAGGATGTATATAGAAAAACTGTCACAGTGCGCAGAGATGGAGTTAGGAAAGCCAAAGCCCATCTTGAGTTGAATCTAGAAAGGGATACAAAGGATACATAAGCAGAAAAGAGAATAGGGAAAATGTGTCGATCTTTACTTGTAGGACTTGCCCTCAGCAAGCTCAACTCCCTATAATGAGAGGGGGAGTCTAGAAGAACAAAGATTTGCTCTTGATTCAGGACAACCAGTTTAGGGAACACTTAAACAAACTGGGATGTAATGGGATGCACCCATAGGTGCTGAAGGAACTAGCTGATGTCTTTGTGAGGCCACTCTCCATTACTTTTGAAAAGCCATGGCATCTGGGGGAAGATTTCTGAGGAATGAAAGGAAGGCAGGAGTGATACCTGCCTCAAGAGCAACAAGAATGAGGATCCAGGGAACAACAGGCTAGTTAGCCTCACCTTGATCCATAGGAAAGTGAAGGAACAAATGATCCTGGAAAGAATTCCCAAACATATTAAGGATAAGAAGGTGATTGGGAGTAGTCAGCATGGATTTACAAAGGGGAAATTATGACTGACCAACCTGAGAACATTCCATGATGAAATGATTGGCTTGGTAGATAAAGGGAGGCCAGTGGATGTTGTTAATCTCAACTTCAGTGAGGCTTTCAACAGTCTCCTCCAACATCTTCCCTGACCAACTGACGAGTACAAATTAGGTAAGCAGATGGACAGATGAACTGAGAGCTGGCTGAACTCAAAGCTGGCTGGGCTCCAATGCTTGTGATCAGCAGCAAGCAGCCCATCTGTGGACCAGTCATTAGTGGAGTACCCCAGGGATCAGTACTGCAGCCAATGCTGTCTAACATCTTAATTAAGGGCCTGGGTCAGGGCCCTTTCACTCAGAAAGTTTGCAGATGATACAAAAAGAGTAGCTGATATACCAGCTGACACTCAGATGCCTGCCATTCAGAGGGTCCTCAACAGGCAGGACAGATGGGCAGAGAGGAACCTTATGAAGTTCGGCAAAGGAAAACGTAAAGTCCTGTGCGAGGGGGAGAGCAAGCCCACACAGCAGTACAGGCTAGGTTCCACCAGCTGGAAAGCAGCTTTGCAGAGAAGAGCCTGGGGATACTGGTGGACACAAAAGTGACCAGGAAACAGCAATGCACCCTTGCAGTAAAGGCCAAGAAACTAGATTGTGTGAGTAAGAGTTGCCAGCATGTCAAGGCAAACAATCCTTCCCCTCTACCCAGTCCACGTGTGACATCTGTGGTGGTGTGTGCCCAGTTCTGGGCTCTCCAGTACAAGAGGCACCAGGACTTACTGCAGTGAGTTCAGTAAAGGGCCACCAAGCTGATTAAGGACTGGCAGCACCTAACATACAAGGAGAGGCTGAGTGAGCTGAGCTTGTTCAGCCTGGAGAAAAGAAACCTAAAGGGGAGGTATCTTATGCTTGTGGGATGGATGGGGTGATGGGGTGGAGTAAAGATAACAGACACCCTCTTTCTGTTGTTATCCAACTGGGAGACAAGAAGTATTGGGCACAAATTGCAACAGAGGTAATTCCATTTAAGCCTAAGAAAAAACAACCTTTTTTCACTCTTAGGAATAAAAATGCCACAAACCTGTTGTCAGCCTGTAACAACACCTTTTGCAGTCATACTACAGATGGGAAATTGACCACTGATATTGTTTGGAAAATAATGCATTAATTCTTTGATAATTTGCTCTCATAGAATTTATAGAGCAATATTTTAGGAATTCAAATACCTAACATATGTGATGCTGTTAAGCATGTTCAAAACATACGCATGACTGTTAGATGCAAAAAAAATAAGAAAAAAAAAAGCCATCCCTAATAACAGATATTTTTTGAAAGACAAAATCAAAACATTTACTTATTTCAAGTTTTTCCTGTTTTAGATAGAAAAAAAAACAACCAAACTACTATTGGCAATGAAAATTATCACTTAAAGTAGAAAATCAAGTTCTTTTTTTTCCTATTGCCATAAAGTCAGGGTCAGGCTGGTCCTTAAACTATCTTCAACTGAAACTTCTGCAAGTCTTCTACCCAAACTACTATTGGCAATGAAAATTATCACTTAAAGTAGAAAATCAAGTTCTTTTTTTTCCTATTGCCATAAAGTCAGGGTCAGGCTGGTCCTTAAACTATCTTCAACTGAAACTTCTGCAAGTCTTCTACCCTGCAACAATCCATTTAATAGCAGAAATTTTTTGATCTCTCCTTGGACATACAAAGGAGAGAGGCTTGCCTCAACATGCTCCCATGTCTTTTTCCTGCACACACTGCTAGGATACAAACTGATAAAGTGACAGTCTATATTTCATAGAAATACTAAAGCACAAAAGCACAGTGAATTAATTCAAAAATGCACAGTGATCACATGCATACACTATATAAATACTAATGTCTTTCACTTACCTATAATTTTACATCACTTCCAGGAACTTTATATTCCTGTTTGAAGTGCTCCACTTCCCTTTTCTCTCTTTTAAAAAAACAGAAACAAAAAACCACCACCACCAACAAAAAAAACACCCCTGAAGTGCTGCATCTCAGTGAACTTCTGACTTAGCCCTCACTGAGTCAATGGCTGCTGAGGCACAAACAGTGATTGAGACTAGGCAACAAACTCCCAAAACTCAACCCCTGTCCAAACGGTGTGCATTTGGATCACAAATTCAGATGAAAGCAGAGTTTTGAAGGACTACAGTCTATAAAACTTGATCCACACATTGTCTTGCACTGAGTTCAAGCCCATTTCTGTCCATGAATTCTCCACCCTGGCTAGGAAAGTATGTATAAGGGTCATACATAGAGCATTGACCTTAAAATCATATTAACGAGAACAACAAAAACCTAATCAAGCTACCTTTAACTCTCTGGGTCAGACTCAGATACAAGTTGATGAGGGATTCCATATAAATACTTGGACAGTTAATCTGTTCCTTCCTGAACTGAATAACTCATCCATGGAGAAATTCAGGCAAGACTGAACTGAATAACTCATCCATGGAGAAATTCAGGCAAGACTGATAAAACACCAAAGAAAAAGCACATAAACCCATTCAGGTTCCCACAGCACATGAACATTCATAAAAGGACTCAGTCTGCTGCATCTAGACATTGCAGAAAATAAACTGGAAGTATCCCTGAGCAAACCCTCCTTAAGGCAAAATCCTCTGCATCAGGTGTCTCAGAAATGAAGGGATTATCTCCCTATATATTAGTGATACAGAAACAGTGTATTATTAACTGGTCACAAGGGCCTTTAGTTTTCTTTTGTCTACTGTTCAACACTGAATAAAGCATACCAGTGTGTAAGGGTAAGTATAAAAGTCAGTGGATCCGAAAAATTAATCTTTTAGATATAGCAGTAAGTGTGAGGATGATGACAGGAAAAAAGGTGGAAGTTTATTTTTGAAAGACCTGATTTAATACAACTGTACGAGGAATCCAGTCACAAGTCTGACAATATCCAATTCTGTAGATAAAGTCCTTGAATGTAGTTGCCTGAATATCAAATACATATCAGCACACAATGGAAATTCAGCCTTCATCCTCACTGCTGCTCCATGCATCCTCATAGGCTGGGTTTAAATGCTGTTGAGAAAGAGACTGAAAAAATAAATAAATAAATAAATCACTCTGATGTTTGCTTTAATAGGACTAAGTAATTTAAAACATTAAAAGTAAATAAACACAATACTAAAGGTATTTCTTAAACTACTTAAACTACTATCTGCAAAGAAATTGATTTGTGTCTCAAAGATACAGGATTTTTGTAATCAATTCTTTTACCATTCTGTCCATTAAAAAAGGATAAACTGTGAAGACACAGTATTCGATTTCCAATTTTGATAAAAACATCTGGAACATAACTGGAAGATCTACAAACGTCTGAATGCAAAATATAACATATATATATATTATAACCTGTGTTTGCTTTCAGTTGCTTAAGACATGATTTCATTGTTCCAGCATTACTGAGCACTGCATCTCAGAAAGCACCCTCAGCCTCTGCCTGCATTTAACAAGTTTCCACTTCACCTTGTGTCAAGCTCAAGGGCTTCTGCAGCCAAGTCGTGCACTGAAGCCCGTATCTAACCTCCAGGAAAACTTTTCACTATTTTTTTTCTGGCTTGTTTACTTCTTCTTTACTTCTGATCCAGATTCTTACTATGCAAATACACAAGTGCCAGCTCTAGTCATGGGAGAGAACAGGAACCAGTGGCCCATGGAGAGCAGAGCTGCTGCTCTCAGGGTCAGCGCCAGCGACAACGTTTGTCAGCAGCAGCAGGAGCTGAATGGTTAGCAAAACAGTGGCATATTCGGCTGGGGCACCACTAGGGCAAACCTAGAGGGGCAATTGTCATCAGAGCAGGATGGCTTCCCTCCATCTCCCCTCAGACTAAAAAAAAAAATTGCTTATACTGAAAAAAAGAAAAAAATCAAAAATCTGAGTTTGGAAGAACCAGAACATTCATTTCAGGTCATCTGAACACATTTTGATTTCATTTCATGTTATCTAAACTTGCTAAACTTTTAAACTACTTTTTTCTTTAAGTTTTTCATAAACTGTATTTCAAAACAGAGCAAAAAATATTTTATCACCACTTTTATTTTTTTGGAACAGAACACTGCTGCCATGTTAGAAAATTCAATTTTTTGTATGATACGATTCAAAATATTAGTATCTCCTGATTTTAACAGCTGTAAAAGTTGCTAGACTCTTATTTTGCGAATGGCTTCAGACCCTGAAAAGCTATTTTTTCTCCTTCCTATTGTTTAAGTTTTTGTTGCCCAGTTCTAACAGAAAGAGGAAAAACATGTTCTCCTATGTAAAACAGTTCTACTATGATCCGTCTGTAATAGCCCGCATGTTTTCTCTCAAATTCCATATTCTTTATTATATTTTTCCTTCAAAAGTATTTGGATATGAATTGTAGCATCCTTAATCTTATTGTTTAGTAGACAACTATATTCCTCGACAAATTAAAACACAATTTTTCTTTGACATTTTTCACTTCCAAATGAGCATAAAGTTCAGAAAGCAGCATGGAATTTAAGGAAGCTAAAGTGGAAGTTGAAAGACTGACAGCAAAATAACAAGTACTACTTCAACTGGAAGAGAAACTAAAGTGTACGAGAGATTTTTCTAGACTGCCAGACACATACAGGAGAAAAAAAGAAGGAAAAAAAGAACTAAGAAAAAGAAAAAAGCCTCCTCCCAAGCCCCAGAATAACAACCAAAAGGTTGCAGAGAAAGAACATATAGGTGATTTTCCAGTGCGTCAGCATTGTTACAAATTTTGAAGATGAAAATCCACTTCATATATAATGAAGTTCTTGCAAGTATAACACCCACAAAGAGTACATGTCAACGGGATAAACTATTAGTTACCTTTTCAGAAGTGTCATCAGGAATAGGCTCTCGAGGGGCAGGTATCCAAGCAAGGATATTACAATCTTTACTACCACTATAAAGCTCCTTTAAAAAAGCAAGCCAAAAAAGGTCTGCTATACAAATTTACTGAATAAATATTGAAATAAAAGTAATGCTAGCAAATAAATTTTATGAAATTGTTTTTTTTTGTAAAAAAGGACACATATAATTTCTATTTTGTAATACAATAATAAAAAACAGTATATTCTTAAAACATACTAGAGAAAAAGAACACATCTTGAGATTTCTTCCAGGTTGGACATCAGAACTACTCACACTTAAATGAATTATATTGCTTAAACATACCTTTTTTTTCCCTTCCCTCTTACTTGTCTCCAGAAAAGTTAAAAACTAGAAAGCTTTTAAGTAGCTATTACTAAGTATTTTAAACAGTAGTGACTATTTAAAAGCCAGTAAGTTTAGCAGATAATTGTATTTAAGATCAATAGAAATGTTTTTTCTATTAAATTTAAAAATATGAATCTACACAAACACATCCAATAAGACATAGGTTAGAAGAGTGCATAAATACGGAGCAAAGGAGTAAGCGTGGTGTAAGTATGCCTGGGCAAGGAGAAGAACAAACAAGCAACAACTTGAAGCCTGCATCCTGTTGTGAAGGCAGAGATGAGAAAGACTGATTTATTATTCTTAATACAAATAACCTTATTCATTATACTAATGGCTAAGCAGGGGGATCCCACTGTGCTGGGCACCCTGCAAACGTGCAAGCAAACAGTTTCTGCATCAAATAGCTACCCATCAAATACAGCTTGATTTTCTTTGCTTTTTATGAAAGGAAGTACAGGTTTCTCTGGTTCTCTAAACTGAAGTAGTTCTACTCTTCAGAAATACTGCACCACCTTTGCAGTAAATTTTACGCTAATAATGCTCCTGTTTCCCAAACTGCTACTCACTTGAACGTGTATGAAAATATTTTTGTATGCCTTGAATCTTTAATTAAACTCCTGCTTATTATATAAAATGTCTGACAACAACTAGATGAGAACTACCATAAGATTAAATTATCTGGGTGAAGCATGCATGGTATTCTCTTCTATACCAAAGCTGACAGTGGAAAAAGTCTTCTAAAAGCTTGTTGGCTCTTACGCTTAACCTAACAGCTCAGTGCATGTCTCTAAAAAGATTTTAATAAGTTGATTCAACATAAATCAATAAATCACAGTTCTGTCTTTGCAGAAAGTTTTGTTTTGTGTTAGGTATATTTAATTCTACAAAAAGCATGAATCACTCAAACAGGAACTTAAAAATTAACTATTAAGTTAACCAGTACCTATAAATAACCGCTTATATGGGTAATTTTAGTCAAGTGAACTGATATAATGACCACTGCATAACCACTCCCAGGAATGAAGTTATTCATGCATAAAACAGGATTGGAATTTTCTGAGATGAACATCCTACTTATCTCACCTAAAAGAATAGAACAGGGCCAATTTATACCAAGGTGTAGGTCAGTCTTCACTTCTGCTACAGCATCCTGTCTTTTGCAAGACGCACAAATTGCTGGAACTTGGAGAACAAGCAGTACGTCCCACCCCAGTGAACAACGCCATTGGGAAATCAGCATAGTTCAATTAGTCTTTATTACTGCCTGTCCTTCTTCTGATCCTGGTATTGCAATATCTTCAACTAATCTAGACTATGTTGACTAGTATTTACAATTATTACAATTTGAAACAGTGACTAAGATCCTAAGTCAGTCAAAAGAAGAGTCAATGCATAAAGTTTCAGGCATATTTATGGTACAGAATAACACAGTATTTCTGAGGAAAAGTTAAGGCTGAATTTATGTTTTAATTTTTGTCTTTTTTTAACCTACCACTGTTATGGACGGGTAGGTTTGCCAGATAACTTTTCGTTGTCATTGGTATTCCCAGGACATAAAAAGACATAAAAAATTGTTACTGCTGCACTGTTAATATTTTTCCTTTGTAATTAATTAACTATTAGTTATTTACTTCATTCTGTATCTGAAAGGGACACGCAGGTATTGTTTACTTATTTTAAACAGTTAACACAGCACATTGGTATCTAGCATATTGGCTTCAAGAGTAAAATTGTCATGGAAGAGTTCACAGTGGGGATTTCCTCTTCTGCACCACCCTTGAAATTCTCCACCTCTTATTAAATTAACTTCCCTTCTTAATGGGCAATATTCTGCAGCTCTTATTACTTAAGAAGCTTAACATCTCATTAACTTAATGGAGAGAGTTATGCAAGAAAAATTTGGCCAACAATAATATAGCCAATTTTATGGCTGTATTACCAGAATCTCAAAAGGATAAGTACATATATACACACACACATATAACACTCACACTAACCTGTAGTTACACAGGGCAGCTCAAACACAAAAGATAAGCCACCTAAGAATACTAACTACTTTGAACCTAATAAGAATAAAGACCGAAATCACTAGCTTGCAAACAGCCAGTTGCTTGCGTACCAGGGGTTGTAGCTATTACATGCTTCTGAGTGAAAAAGACGACACTTCACACCTCAAATACAAAGTTGGCACACAAGGTTTTAAAACCTGTTTCAATCATGAAATGAAACAAAAATAGTGAACAAAATAAGGTAATAAATAGAAAGAAAGCAATTACTGGTAGCAATAAATTTAACTCAGAGGTTTGGAGCTGAAAAATAGATAATAAGAAATAAAGACCAAATTTGGGGGTGTTGGAGGAAAATCATTCACCAGGGTTAAAGGCAGCAAAGAAGCCTAGAGAAGGATTAATGTGAAGAAAAAAAAAACTAAAAAATGAGAGAGACTACGACTAGATGGAAAAGGTAAAAACTATGCAGAGCAGTCAGTTGTAGATCTCGTTTCATATGATGGTAATGTGCTAATAAGTTGGAAAGGCACTAAAAATCCCATATCTGTGCAACTACTGATTTCATCAGTAGATGGATAACTTGCATCAGCATCTTAGAAGAGATGTCTGAGGAAACTTCTGACCTGCTCAAGTTAGATATCTTGAAAACATACTGGAATAGACAGAGCTGAAAGTGAGCTAATGTATCATTCAGGAAAGGGGAAAAAAAGTGGAATGATACAGATACTATTGGACTAACTGGCATTTCTTTAATCTCAGACAAGAAAATAGAAAAGGTAATTAAAAAGATTCTGAAGATTTTGAATTAAGTTCTTCAATTACTGAAGAATTAATATTTTAGGAAAAAAAAAATACCAGTCTTCAACTGGTCTGAGTGTACAAGCCTTGTGTACATGCCCACAAACCGTGTGTGCACACACACAGGCACACAGATGAGTAATAACAACAGGCAGATAATTCTGGCACATGGTATAATACCGATGCTGACACTGCAGGGTTGCTCACTTTCCCAAATATTTCTAAAGACAAGGTAGAGAAGAGACACACATCCATTTGCAGGAATTCCCAAATACTTCACTCACCTGAAAGTTAGGTTGGAATACACAGCAGTCAACAGTACTAAAATGCCCTCTAAGCTTAGTTATCAGTTCTCCTGAGAAAATTGTGTAAACAGCAATGGTGCTCCCATACGGTACAAAAGCAAACTCTGGATTGCAGCCCCAAGAGATGGTGAATTTGAGTCCTTTTCTACTTTCATTACCGACTTTCCCGTAGTTCACCTGTACATTGAAAGATTAAGCAGTTAGTTATTAACTGAAATCATAGGTAGCAACTTTACATAAAAAGGACATTTGTATCGTCATCATTAATATCCAATAAAATTCATTTAAGCTTCCCCTTTTAACATAACTCTTTGGATTTCCAAATAAAGATGTTCATCGAGAAAATGATTTTTCTCTTCATTAAAGCTCATTATCTTTAATACAAACTGAGAAACAGGAGAGGGCAGCAGGGAAGATCTGCCTATATCTGCAGCAGCTCCGCACTTAAAGATGGAATTTGCTTTGGCCTTTCGGGACAGATCTACTTTGATGAACTACAACTACTACTGAAATCATGATTAGTTTAGGAATTCCTGCTTAAACTTTTTCCAAGATGGTCCCACATAGCCATTTTCTCTCAAATATTGAAATTATTAAAAGAATGAGACACCAAAAGAATCAATAGTGCACATACAGTTTTAAGCAAGACATTGTTTTCTGAAAGTTTCAGCAACTGGAAATGTTAAATCTAATGCTCTAAAGAGTCCCCTTTTATTTTAAGACACGGCATTAACATTTTTCTAGTGTGTTCTCCTTAAAATATTTCACACACACCAGTGGACACACACACACTAGTTTATACATAATTTCAAAATACCAGTTTTCAAATAGCAGTAGATAAAAAGTTATTTCCCATTAAGCTAAACTACAAAAAGCAAAGAGGTAACAATGTTTTTTGTAGCTGGCAATGGGCATAGGCCTAATCACACTGCTTTAATTAACCATTTCAGTGGTAAGAATGAAGTGAGACAGCGGCCCCAGCCTGCCTTATATTATGTGCATTCACCTCCAAAATACAGTACCAACAATCCAACCATTTTACTCTAAGACTTGTTCTCAATCCACAGACTGGAGAGAACTTCCTTCTTATTCTTGAAGTGCCCTTTATGCAAGCTGATCAGTATTGCAGAAGGTTGTATTTCTGAAGTATATACACTGTTTAGATGGCAAAGAAAAGCAGCACCAGTCTAGCCAGCACCAGAACAAGTCCTCAGGGGCTTCTCAGCATCTCATCCCTTGCTTCTAGAAGCAGGAAAGGAGGAAGAGCATCAGCAACACAGACAATGATTCTGTGCTTCTCCCTCCTGAGTTTGCAAGAAGCAGCAGCAGAGCAAGAGGCAATATGAAAAGGACTGAAGGGTGTGCAGAAGGACATCATAAATAAATGGCAAAACCAAAGGGATTAAAAAGAAAATAATGCATAGCTATAGCTTCCTAAATTATTTCTTATGCACTAGTCAGGAGTGGCATGTTAAATATATTAAAATGTCTGTCTTCTACTGCTAAATCTTGGAATTCATCACTGCTGAGAAATTCAGTATTGTTCCCTGCAAGTACAGCTGTGAGATAAGAGATTAAGAAGAACCCTGGCTTGTGAGTTGCGTGGGAAGCCTTGCAAATAAAAAGTACAGCTTGTCACTGTTGTCAGTATGTTTCAAGGTCTGGACAAGTCCTACCTACACTGAAAGCTCACGGAAGTTGAAAATTGGAAAAGTTCCAAACATGCTAGGAAACACTTCCATTGGATATGTCAGTCTAGTTTCGTCCTCTATAAGAAGCCAGAAATGTATTTGTGTGAACGGTGTATCTTGCTACTATACAAACTTAATTGAAACGAATTATTACAACATCAACACACAAAACATGTTCTCCCTTGTTGTGAACATCTCCAGCTGTGCCCTGCAGGAGAGCTGCAGCTTGGCTGCTGCA